AACCAGTATTTTCGCCCCTTCCCAAAATTACTTCAACGGAAGGTTTCCAGATGGATATGCGGAGCAAATCCATCTGGCGGAGTCAGGTTAGCGTTTTAGGAAATTATAGGAAGTAGGGCATATGCTGGATGAATCGTCAAGATGTGACAGGGTCCTAACCTGCTTGCAAACAGCGCAGCGTGATTGTTCCCACCAATGAAATTGTCTGTAAGAACATTAGATATTCCACCACATTCCAGGGGAAAATTAGGGCGTACCAAAGCAAAACACAGGGCGTGCAATTTCTAATATTTCTAGTAAAGGGCATTGCTAGTTTAAAGCCTGCCATCAGGTCTCATCCCTGCTTTTCGTTCATAAACTGACATTTTTTTTTATTGTCCTTCCAGCTGAGGAAACTCATCAGTGACTTTTCCATCTTCATGTCCATCATGACGTTCGTCGGCCTTGATATGTTGGTGGGACTCAAAACTCCCAAACTGATCGTCCCGACCGAATTTAAGGTGAAATAAGTTAACTCATTTTACATAAAATAAAGGAACCGCTGGTTTAGTGTGCTTGGCTGTTCAGTAGATCAGAGAGTTATTAGATGTTTGCAAAACAGATCAGCTTTCTTCTAACATATAGGTTAACAAAACGTTATAACTTTTAAATTATTTAACACCAGCAATCAGTATTAACTGATGTTGGCCTGCGGCTTTTCTTCAGCCATGTTGGAAGCATGCACTGCAAAACATTGAAATGAATAATTTCTTCTTAAAATACGTGTATTTGTTCTTGAATTGAGGAGGTAAATGAGATACTTGGCCAATGGAACAAGACAATTTCCTTTTAAAATAGAAAAAAAAAACAGCTGCATGGTCTTATTTCAAGTGTAATTATCTAATTATCTTATTTTAAGAGTAAAAATACTCATTCTGTTGGCAGTTAATCTTATTTACTTATTTCAGAAATTTGTTTTCTTATTTCTAGATTGTTTTTGCAGTGTTTGGAGCATTTGGAGCATTTTTAGGGTTCCTCTCCATTTTTATGTCCGCAGCAGTGGACTCAGATCTAGATCCAGGCGTTGAGCAGGCTGCTCCAAAACCGTCTCTCTATAGAGATGGAGATTCTGGAGTAATTTAGATGTTTGTTTTTTTTTTAAATAAGGTGGGGGCAGTGTTGTGCACGAATGAGTTCAATGAACGGCGTTCACTGGATATTTTCCTGTTAGTGAATGGTGAACTGAATGGATCCGTTTTTTGGTAATGAACGTTCACTCTGAGAATAATGAGCGACTAACACAGCTCACATTGGCGTTCAATCGATCACGACACTTTTCATTGGATAACGTCGGGTTTTACGGCACCTATAACGTAAACATCCTGACAGAGCAGCATGTCTGCTGCTGGTACCAGTCTGCTCCATTCAGACTCATCTGCTGGGATTTCTGATGCCAGTTTAGCAGAGCGCTTTGCAGTTTGATCAACTAACAAAGGAATAAACTCACGTTTTAGTGCAAACTGTTCCCACCAAGATTTAACAAACAGGTCCGTCTGTCAGCCACGCCCACTTCACCTTTAAAGCCACACATGGAATTAAAGCATCTGAATTATCTGGCTTTGCATTCAAATGCAGAGTTAATTTCTCCATTCTGAGCTCAAGAAAGTTCAATTTATTCAATTATTTTCATGATAATAGCTATAAGGTTTGTTTCTGCTTGTTGCCTGCTGC